GCAAGTTTGGGTATCGAGTATTTCTGTCAAATCACACTGGAATAAAACCCAAGAGAAAATCTGTTGGTTGTTCTAGATCCTCTCCCTTCCCTCCCCTGCTGTGTCCTGCAGATTCCCCAGTGACCTAACAGAGGACAGCGGCTGGAGGATCTGGTGAGCCTCGGGGGATGAGCCAAGGTTACGTTTTTCTTGAATCAAACTGCACACTGCCGGCTGGCTGCCAGGCTCCTGCTGCCCTGCCCTGATCTCTCCCTTTGACCAGACCACACTGGACTGAACCCAAGGAGATCATCTCGCTTTCTTACTAACCACCGACGGTTTACGCTTCCCCCTCCCTGCCCCCAGCCCACCGATTCTTCTTTTATTTATTTTATTAGCTGTTAGTTTTATTTTTTTATTTTATTTTTTTATCTTTTTTTGGGGGCTACCCCTTCTTTTTGTTGTTTGCTCTTTCCCGAGCTAGTAGACATATTTTATGAATTGGCTTTGTGATTGTGTTAGGTAGTTTTTATTAAGGAGTATTTTTATTTGGCTTTGAAACTGTTTTGAATATTTTCAACTCTGTTGTTGTTGTCGTCAGTGTTTTTAAAGCACGGTATGTAACAAGAATGCAGTTCTGAAGGGAAGAAAGAGACACAGAGAGAGCAAAGGCTGAGAGGAACTGATGTATTTCTATTTTTTTTAAAGAAACTGTTTTTAATTGTTTCTGTTTTGTAAATGTGAGGCTTTGAAAAGTGTGAAACTCCAAGGATCTGAAAACGTTGGACATCGCTATGGAACAAAACAAATGTATATTTTGCTAAATGAAAAACACTATCCTTACAGCTGAAAGATTTTTTTTTTTCCTAGGTTTAGTTTTACGTGAGGTTTTCTTTTTCCTCTGTATAATATGTAAATATCGCGAGCTGAACCTGGCTGCTGCCTGCAGCCTGGCTCCAAGGAGCAGCTCCAGGTCCTGGACTTGGTGCCGCAGTGTGAGCAATACTCTCCAGCAGAATCCTGACAGGACTCCGTTCTTTTTTTGTACACCTTTTACTGTAAGATTTTAAGACCTCTGATGAAATGAAAGGGGGGGGTGGGGGCGGGGATGAAACGTACCAGCCATCGGCTGTTTTGCTGAGCGGGTTAAAGCTGCTTCCAATCGCTCGATGTACAGACTCCATCACTGGGCTCCGTAGTGCCAGCCTCTGGCTTGGCTTTAGGTAAAGGGCTTTACCGCCACTGCTTGTCTTGGTTACTTTGAAAGGAATTCACTCTCCAAACGCTATCGCTTTCATCAAGATTTCCGGGGAAAGGGGATCCTCCTCCGGAGGCGAGGGTATGGGAAGGGGTGTCGGCCATGGCCAGGGGGAGATCTGGGTGGTCCTTCTCTGAAGGGCAGGGCGCTGGGTTGGGGAGTCGTTAACGGGGGAGAAAAGCATTAGGGTGGTGATTTGGGGGCGGGTTAAGGGCTTCTCAGGGATTATATGAATTACAGAATTGCAGCTTCCCATTTGCTTTACTCTGTTCTGAAAGACTGTGGAAATTTGTCTGTTGTCCTGTGTGGGGGTGGTCTGGTCCCTTCTCCAGAACCTGCCTGGGCTTCCCCTGGTGCAGCCGGGCACCCACTGACAGCGCTGTGCCAGGGGAAGGCTCCAGCAGGAGAGCACGGGGCAGGTTTGGGTCTGGATGCCAGTGAACCAAAGACCTTGTTACGGGGGGTGATTAAGCCTTTTATTAAGATGCAGCCAAACTCTTTTCCCAGGGAAATAACAGCTTCATCTTAAGTTTTAAAAATCATTCCCTCTCTTCCCCCAAACTGAGCCCCTGTAAGGGAGAGGGGTGTTAGGAAAAGACTGGGAGGGCCACAGTGCTCACAGGGCACTTCTTTTCATCCCTCCCCCGTCTGCCGGAGCTTGTCCTGACCTGGGCGATGCGTTTGGAGAGTTCTGTTTAGGTAAGAGGATACTTAACAGATTAGTACTGAAAACACAAAGCAATAATTTTTGTTACTGAGACAAGAGTCTGTATGTCTGTTTTTTTAAATATTTCCTAATTAAAGAAGAGCTGCATTTTATTGGGTTTATTTTTATTCTATATACTTCAAATTTGGGTCTGCGGACAGCGCTTTCCTCCCTCATGGTATATGCGCTGAACTGCTTCCGTGCCCCCTCCAGACACCCAAGGCCAGCTGTGCTGCTGCTGGGCTGTGATTCACTCTCTGGCCAGTGCTGCCACTGCCTGGAGGCTGGGGCTCCGGTTTCAGGGTGGGCATTTTTTTTAAAAGAAATAAAGCTGTGTTTTTAAGCCAGTAAGTTATTACACTCCAATGTTTGTTCTCTCCACTCCTGTAACCCTTTTTCCAGATTTCAGTTTTAAATTCCTAATAAATTATTTGAAAACTGTCCTTTTCTGTCATTATTTGGGGGTGGGAGGTTTTCAAATGGAGATTTCAGGTGAACTTGGACCTGGCAGGAGTCACATCCTGCCATTAGGATGAAAGCCCCAGGCAGGGCTCTGCCTCTGTGTTCTGCTCCCAGACTTTGGCAGTGGCCCAGTTTATAATGTGAGGCAGACCTGGTTTTAATAGAGATCGTGTCTCTTCTCTACGTTACAGAGGTTTTGTACAGATATTTGTAGGTTCAAGAGAGGAGGAAATAGCGTGGCGTTTAGAAGTTTGTCTCAGATGCTCTGGATTCAATGACTGCGGTGGATCAAGGAGACGAGATCTAAGAAAGTAAAATGTGGAGATGGGAAGGGAAGAAGAGTCCTTAACAGACAACGCTGCAAGAGAAAGGTGAATTCTACCTGTGAAATAGTAGGTCTTTAATTATAGAGAATTCTTAAAAATTATCTAAGGCTCAAGCCTGTAAGTTCAGGAACCAGTTGTAAACTGGGATGCCCTCACAAGCATACGGAGGACCTGGGGCTTTGTATGCAGCACAGGCTGGGGGAAAACAAAAAATAGCATTGGTGGAAAAATCTTTACCCTGCTGGGATTTTTCTCATGTGGCACTTTTATAATGGTCACATGCTCGCTTTCCTGCACTTGGTGATCCTCTTCTTGAATTAAAATGTAGGAAATCCAAGATATTTTTTATTTTTGACTTAAAAGGTCCAATTTATTGGCAGTTTTCTTGGCAACATCAATAATAAATCAGACATTAAGGAGTGAGGAAAAAGGAACCACAGAATCTTAAGGTTCCCAGGTAAGACTACAGAGAAATAATAAAAGAGTAAAGGTGGCCAAAAAGGAGAAAAAACACTTAAATGGATCCTGAAGGGAAAGTCAGCAGATTGATCTGTGCGCAAAAGATTAAAACCTTTTTTTGGAACTGTGGTACACACTGCCCTTTACGTGAACCTTTAATGTTTATTCAATCTTCTCGCTGTTAGGACGTGAGAATCTTGAATCTGTAACTCAGCATCTGGCTTTAGCTAACGTGTGAGTGGGGAATCCCAGAGAATCAGAGAGCTTGTGAGAGATCAAAAAAGTCAGAATGGTTCTCATTGTTCACCAGCATGTCTGCCTTTAACTAGATGTCCTACAGATATGTCAACATCCTATGGATACTATCAGCACCATGGCACAGTTTCATCCACTATGATGGGGAAGATGTCCTTATTGTCCCTTATAGAAATGTGCATTTGAACCTACTGAAGCGTGCTGAACCCTAATTTTCCTTAACAAGCACTGTGGTATATGAAGCAGTTGCGGGAGGGTAGGGTTTGCCTCTTCCTCTGCTCTTAAAAACTGAAGGCTTGCTTGGTGCTTTAGAAATAAATGCAGACGCTCACTGCCAAGTGAGCAGTGTAGGATATGTATCTTGAGTGTGTAAAAATGCCAAACCTGTGGTCCTGACAGTGTCAGAGCCCCCGGGGTCTGGATACACACGTGGTATTTTGCACTTGCACCTGGCTGACTCTAGGAAGCTTTTACTTATCCATTTTTTTATCTTCTTTCAAGGTTCCCACCTCACCTCATGCCTCAGTGGAGAGAACCAAAGGGCCTAACGGGGTTCTACTTTGGTGCTGGGGAAAGAAAAACTGTTGTCGAAGGTACTGAAGTCTGCTATCTATGTTGAAGCCTCTAAGCCCAGTTCATTTCAAGTGGAACTCCCTTAAGGTCATGTAAAAACAGACACTGTTCCTTGTTTAAGCCAGATAGAGAGGCTTTCCAGGTTGCTTGGCTCCTGTTTTTTGCCTAGCAGTACCTCCTTCTCCTGTATGGTTTCAAAGGAAAAAACAGCTTGAACTTTCTTCTGTCCAGCTCATGCCAAACGGCCATTTGGGGTGAGTGGATGACTTGTACTTTCTTCTCTGAATTAGGCCAGGAGAATCCGTGGAGAGATACAGGATTAATGATAAGTGGGATACCATAATAAGAGGATGATAGGACAAGAGGAAACGGCCTCAAGTTGTGCCAGGGGAGGTTTAGGCTGGATATTAGAAAAAAATTTATTCACTGAAGAGTGATCAGGCAGTGGAACAGGCTGCCTGGGGAAGCGGTGGAGTCACCATCCCTGGAGGTTTTCAAGAAACGTGTCGATGTGGTGCTTCGGGACATGGGTTAGTGGGTTAGGTCGTGTTGGGTTGATGGTTGGACTTGATGATCCTTGAGGTCTTTTCCAACCTTTATGATTCTATGCCAGTATTAGTAGGATGGATATTAGTGTGCCAGCAATTTCCAACATAACTACCAAACTGCTACTATTTTTTATTAGAGAGCCCTTAAAAATATCCAGATTTTTAAGCTGGCTTCTAATAGTAGCATTAATATAAGAGCAAAAACCTAGAGGGCAAATATTTGCCTCCCTGGTGTTCAGAGATTTAACTGCCCTGACCTTCAACTGGCCATGTCACAACCTGCTGCCCACAGCCTCTGATGGAAGACATCTGCATGTAGTAACATAAATATCAGCTTGTTTATCTCAGACCCATGTCAAGGTGAGGTTATCATATATATATATATATACGAGCCGCCTTTCCTCTAGCACCACTTTCTGTCAAATCCTCTGAGAATGAAGTTCCTGGCCCTGCTTTTCCTGCTGTTCGGTGTGTAGGCGGCACTCACCCCCCAGCACCCCCCGGACTGGTAACCCCATGCCTAACTCTAACCTTTGTGTCTGTCTCTTCTCAGTGGGCGCAGCCAGTGCTGCTGTCTCGCCCCGGGCCATGTGGGATTTTCGCAGCATGATCAAATGCACTCTCCCGAACAGCCGTCCTCTGCTGGAATATGCTGACTACGGCTGCTTCTGCGGCTTTGGGGGCTGCTTCTGCGGCTTGGGAGGCAGCGGGACACCAGTGGATGAACTTGACAGGTTTATGAAACTCTTGATTTTACAAATCTCTTTCCTTGGCTGTGCTTTCACTGTTCTTCACACCAGCTTCATCTTAGCTGGCCCTGACTATAAATGTTCACAAAGCTCTCTGGCTGCTTTGAATGAAGCTTTCTGTCAAAATTGACTCAAGGAAAAAAGGTTGTGTAGTATCACACCTTGACACCTTATTACTAAGATCAGATATAATCCCAACAACTCTGTTTTCTGTGGCAGCTAAACTGCACTTGTTCCAGCATTTTTTTTTTGCAGCAGCAGTGCTGTGCAAGCAGCCCAGACACAGCTTTGTGCCCACTGCCCGGTGCGTGACCATCAACACGTGCAGGGCTGAGCTGCAGAATGCTAAAAGGTGGCTTGGGCAGTTTAGAGATCACACAAGACTAACAGACAAGACGCAGCAAACTGTGTCACCTGTTATTAGCTCTTCAGCTACCAGGCACTGATGGGGAGCGTAGGGGAAATGGTGTCTTTTGCTTTCCCTGTGCCCAACTGACAATTCTGTGAAGATGCTCCACTAAGTACATGTGTCCCAGACACCTCTTGGACCATTAGCTAGCAGAACTGAGTCTCTCTGAGGTCCTTCGTGTCTGCTCTTTATCACTGGGTATCTTTTTTTTGTTTTGTTTTTGTTCAGTACCTTGTCAAAGTAATACTATTGCATTTACGTGTCTTATAGGTCAGCTGAGTTTGCGTTTCTGGTGTTTTCTGACCTTTTCTTCCTTATTTCCCAGGTGCTGTCAAACACACGATGGGTGCTACACACAGGCAAAGAAACTAGACGCGTGCAAAAACCACATCGTGGACAACCCCTATACAAAGTCCTACAGCTTCAGCTGCTCCAGTGGCAGGGTTACGTGTAGCAGTACGTCCACTTCCATGTCACTCTGCTCCATCCTTACGCTTGATGCTTCTGTGGCAGGAAGGCGCAGTGCGAGTCTCTGTCAGGGGGCTGGGTGTTAGAAACGGGGCACCTCACGCAGGCAGCGGAGTGAATGTTCTCCACGTGCAGCACAATTTAAAGGTGGTGGAAGATACAGGGTACCACAGTGGGCAGGGAGGCCTGTCCCCTCTACAGGGGACTGAGTCCCTGTAGTGCTTTTCTGGGATTCCCTTCAATGGCCATATTTACAGGATCAGGATGCTAACTGGGGAAGCATTACACAGCTTCTGATGGACATTTCTAATATAATGGTGGAGCTTGTATGGGGCTCTTGAACAGAGAGGAACAGAAGATGGGCTGGGAAACAGAACTGCAGGAAAGGAGGGGAAGGAAGGAGTAAGGAGGTTGCTGAGCCAGAGCACACAGATTTGGGGCCAGAGGGTTAGCGGGGAGAAGCATCTATACCCCGAAAATGGCAGCAGCAGTGAAACGCCTGCCTGAGTCCCCGCTCTGCCTAGGGAGGGAGCCGCGGGCTCTGACTACTCCTGCTCTCTCCCCAGGCCAGAACGACGCCTGCGAGATGTTCATCTGCAACTGCGACCGCGCCGCCGCCATCTGCTTCGCCAAGGCGCCCTACAACCCCGCACACTACATGCTGGACACCAAGAAATACTGCAACTAGTCCTCCTCCTGCCTCTACCCCTCCAGGGGCAACCACGGCCGCTGGCCTGTCACTAATAAACGCCTCACGACGACCCTCGCCTTCTGCCTGTGCTGCGCTGAGGGAATGGCGGCCTGAGGGGAACTGTGGGCTGAGGGGAACTGTGGGGGGAGAACAATGGCGGGCTGAGGGGAACTGTGGGCTGAGGGGAACTGTGGGGGGAGAACAATGGCGGGCTGAGGGGAACTGTGGGCTGAGGGGAACCGCGGGCTGAGGGGAACTGTGGGGGGAGAGCAATGGCGGGCTGA